CCTGTGCCAATGTGTTCAAGTGTACTCCCCACTTTCTCTTCTATGAGGTTCATTGTGGCTGGCTTTATGTTGAGGTCTTTGACCATTTGGACTTGAGTTTTGTGCATGGTGATAGATATGGATCTATTTTCATTCTTCTACATGTTGATATTCAGTTATGCCAGCAACATTTGTTAAATATTCTTTCTTTTTTTCCATTTGATATTTTTGTTTCTTTATTAAAAATCAGGTATTCGAAAGTGTGTGGATTAATATCCGGGTTTTTGATTCAGTTCCATTGGTCCTCCTGTCTGTTTTTATGCCAGTATCAGGCTGTTTTCAGTACTGTAGCTCTGTAGTAGAGTTTAAAGTCAGGGATTGTGATGCCTCCAGAAGTTCTTTTATTTTACAGGATTGTTTTGGCTATTCCGGTTATTTTGCTTTTCCATATGAAGTTGAGTACTATTCTTTCAAGGTCTGTGAAGAATTTTGCTGGGATTTTGATGGGCATTGTGTTGAATCTGGAGATTGCTTTTGGTAAGATTGCCATTTTTACTATGCTAATTCTACCTACCCAAGAGCATGGGAGATCTTTTCACTTTCTGGTGTGTTCTTCAAAGATTTAAAGTTCTTTTCATATAAGTCTTCCACTTGTTTGGTTAGAGTTACTCTGAGATATTTTATGCTATTTGTGGCTATTGTGAAGGGTGATGTTTCTCTGATTTCTTTCTCAGCCCATTTATCATCTGTGTACAGGAGGGATACTGATTTTTTTTTTTTAGTTAATCTTGTATCCTGCTACATTACTGAAAGTGTTTATGAGTTGTAGAAGTTCCTGGGTAGAATTTTTGGGGTCGCTTATGTAAACTATCATATTATCAGCAAATAGTGAGAATTTGACTTCTTCTTTTCTGATTTGTATCCCCCTGATCTCCTTTTGGCGTTTTATTGCTCTACCTAGGACCTCAAGAACTATACGGAATAGATATGGAGAGAGTAGATAACCTTGTCTTGTTCCTGATTTCAATGGGATTGTTCACACGGGAATTTTCTGTACCATCTTTGCAACTCCTACACGTATATAATATTATTCCAAAATGAGACGTTTGTTTAATACTGGGGACACCATGACTGCAATTCCAGCGCTCTGAAGGCTGAGGCACGAGGATCTCGTGTTTGAGGTCAAATCTGGAATACATCAATCATTTCAGACCAGCCTGAGGTACATAGAGAGATCACAGCTCAAAAAGAGTGGGTGGGACTGGAGAGTTGGCTCATTGGTTAAGAGCAGAGCACTGGCTGCTCTTGCTGAGGAATGATGTTTGATTTCCACATCCACAGGGTGGCTCACAACCGTCCTTAACTCCAGTTTCAAAGATGCTGATGCCCTCTTCTGGTCTCTATGGGTATTGCATGCATACAGTACATGGACATAACCATCCGGCAAAACGTCCACACACATAAAATAAAAATAAATAAAACACTTTATAAATATTTAATTAAGTAAACAAGCAGCACAGCTTGGTGAGAACCCACTTGTAGGCTGGGCTCAGAAGACAGAGAGTGACACCCACATTTTCTGAATCCAAGCAGCATGGCCCTGGAGGCAGACAGCTCCTCTGGTGCCCAATACTGGGGCAGCCAGTCTCTAAAGGAAAGAGGCATTCCAGGGAAGGAAAACCAGTTCATTCACAAGTTTGTCTGAACTCTTCCTCCTGACACCGTGAGCGTCTAGAGCTGACGGTACCATCTGCATCAGCATTAACTCTTACAGAACATCAATATCTGGTTTACAGCGGCACTCAATGCCGAGGTAATCAGGACATCCATGCACACATGGCTAGCAGGTCTCTTGAGAAAGGACAATTCCTGTGTTTTTTAGGGGGAATGAAGCACCCACCCGTGACCAGGGACCAGAAGCAGAGTCCCTAGAGATGCTACTCTCTGCCTGCTTTACTCAACGGGAATAAAAGACGGGCTCCCACAACAGAGTCAGCGCACGGCTCTACGATAAAACAGCCCCAATCAGGCTATCACTGAGACAGGAGTAGGAATGTGAGGGTGTCACCGGGGAAACAAGAAATGGGCTTGTCTTCTTTTGTAAGAAGAAGCTGAAGTTGGGACTCCTGAATTCACAGAATTTGAAATCACAAAAGATAATAAAAAATCTGAGCCATCTGTTTCTATGAAACGTAGCTTTCATACAATGCAATGTTCTGTACAGTGGCAGGGGGGTGGGGACAACAGACGGACAGATGGACACACTTGTCAGCAAGCTGGGAAACAGAAACCAGAAACCAGCCCCAGCGCTAAAGAGCTTCCGTCTGCTCAGCCTGTCACGATGTAAGGACTGAAAATCACCTAGCAATAGCGTCTAGAAGACGGGGGTCAAGGAAGGACTGTGCCTGACCCCACCACAGTACATATAACAGCAGTCAGTAAAGAAGCACCCAGCTGCACACTGCAGGTAGCCAGCCTGCAGTGGGGATGCCGGCTAAAACTGTACTGAACGGTCCATGGTGGCCATCCCAGGAGGAAGCAAGCAGAGGGAGCAGCGTTCCATGGCTTTTGCTTCGGTTCCTGCCTGAGTTTTCACCCTGACTTTTCTTCATAATGGACTGGAAGCTGTAATAAACCTGCCCCTCTCCAAGTTGCTTTAAGTCATGGTGTTTTCTCACAGCAACAGAAAGCAAACTAAGACACGGCCAGGCTATGAGCACCTGATCATGGAAGGAACTTGGCAGATGTAGTTTCTGTGGCTCCCTTCTAAGGTAACATGGTAGCAATGGTGTGCACAGGGGACATCCGGAGGTCCCAGGTACTCCAGTACCTTTAGACTCAAGGACACATCTCTATGGAAAGGGCAGAGCCAGTGGGTTCCTGGCGGTGCCTCCCAGGCCTGACAGATGCAAACACCAAGGCCAAGAGAATCCTGCATCACAGGGAAGCTGTGAGGACACACGACATACAGAAGCCCCGGCCTTATGGAATCCCTGCACAGTTTATGTGGTAGGTACCATTCTTACTGATCAGATCATTCTTCCATATAGTTCCAAAACCCTCAAGCATGCCAGAAGTCTGGAACATACTATGTAGCCCAGGCTATCCTTGAACTCTCCATGTTCCTGCCTCCCCAGGGACAGAGATTACAGGCCTGAATCAAGGCTGGCTGTACCTGTGAAGACACACTCACCAAAAGCAATTCCTGGCGGGCCACCAACCAAACCACCGACGAAGGCCACTGTCCCCGCAACCAAGGCACCCCTCCCAGAGTGCTTGACGGCCGCCTTCATTTTTCTCTCGTGGGAAATGGAACACAGGAGCTTCATAATGTCATCTACCTGGATGGGCATCTCGGCAGACCTTAAAGGAAGATTCAACGAGATAAGTGGTTTCAATGTTTGCCCAAATGTGTACTTAAAAAGAAAGTGAAGCCGGGCAGTGGTGGTGCTCGCCTTTAATCCCAGCACTCAGGAGGCAGGGGCAGGTGGATCTCCGTGATTTCAAGGCCAGTCTGGTCTACAAGAGCTAGTTCCAGGACAGGCACCAAAAACTCCAGAGAAACCCTGTCTCAAAAAAAGAAAGAAAGAGCCGGGCGGTGGTGGCACACGCCTATAATCCCAGCATTCGGGAGGCAGAGGCATGAGGATCTCTGTGAGTTCGAAGCCAGCATGGTCTACAAAGGGAGTTCCAGGACAGGCTCCAAAGCTACAGAGAAACCCTGTCTCGTAAAACCAAAAAAAGAAAAGAAAGCAAGAAAGCAAGCAGGTGTTCTGCTGCATGCATGTCTGTGTACCACATGCATGCAGTGCCCTTGGAGGCCATGATCCCCTGGAACAGGGGAGACAGACCTCTGTGAGACACCATATGGGTGCTGGTAATCAACAGGGGTCCTGAACAGCCAGTGCTCTTAACCTCTAAGTCTTCTCTCCAGTTCATTGTTTTACTTTTGTTTATTTTTGAGATAAGGCCTTCCTTGCTACTTACTCTGGACCAATCTGTTTAGTTTAATTATTTATTTTGAGATAAGGTCTTGCTACACAGGCCTGGCCATAATCCTTTTGCCTCAGACTTTTGCCCCATGGATATCAGGAGAGCACCCCAGTACCCTGTGGTGGAAAAGGAAAGTTTTAATGAGCTTATGAGTATTTTGATCCAAATGTATCAGTTTCTAGCATCTCAGGAAGAGCGCCCACCTTCCGGAAAGAAGAGTTGCTTGGCCGTGTGCATGTCAGACGGGCACATAGCCCTGTGTGGTTCCGTCGCCAAGAAGCTGGGCATCTGCTAACAAGCAAACGGGAGCAGCGAAGTGGATGAAAGGTCTGCCGTGCCCTCTGGTTAGCTTTAGACTCCGGACAAACGAGGAAGCGCCTCAGCCATAGGCTTTACCAGTCCCCTAGCTAGCTAAGCCTGACCTCTCTCACGCCAGCAGCCATTCATCAAGTGGCCCCGCAACCTTCAACACAGAAAGTCTGGCAGGGACAGTGAATTCCCAGCCATATGGCCCCTCGCGTGTGACAAGGTATCTGAGCCAAGTCAGAAACAGGGAAAAGGACAAGATTCTGAGGCTGTACTGGCATCTGCCTGCTATGTAACCCAGAGCCAGGAGTCAAGATACTCGGCTTTTAAGATGGAGCTCAAATGGGGCTGAAAATGCAGATCTTTACGGCAGACACACACACACACACACACACAAAAAATGCTCTGAGTCTGAGCCCCAGTGCAAAAACAAGGATGGACCCTTGCAAGGGGTACACAGAAGGGATGCAGAGTGGCTAAGGAGAGCCAAGGGCACTGCAGACCCTGTTGGGACGCCACGTGCTAAGACAAGAGCTGGGTAGGGCAGCACAGGCTGTCCTCTCGGACCTTGGGAAGCTAAAGCAGGGGGTTGCGAACCCACGGCCAGCCTGGAGTAGATAGCTAGATTTTTCTATCAAAAAGAAAATAATAATGATTAATTAATAATTAATTATTAAAATCTATATNATCTATATCATACATTAAATATTATTATAATCGTATTATAATTAATGATAAAGAAAAAACAGAAACAAGGTGAATTAGCAAGATGAAGCCATCACAAAACAAAATAAATCAGATTTCTGGGGGGTTTGATGATTGGCATGGTGGCTCATAGCTACAATTCCAGCACTTGGGAAGTCAAAGAAAGATCAAGATGAGTCTGAGGCCAGTCTGGGCTACACAATAGATCAAGGCTTGCCTGCACTCAAAACATGGGACTTCCAAGACACATGAAACGACAGAGAGCCCTTATGAATAATGACCGTAGGCAATCTGTGAGGACCAGGACACATTGCCGTGCTGCTGGGAAGTGATAGGCAGAGGCTGAGCCATGGGTGAGAGGCACTGTGCCCCACAGAGGGACTGGTGGGTAAGGAGAGCCCACACACTGACAGACCACTCCATAAGGCGGGGGAGAAAAAGCAGCAGGACGCTTCCTGACGACTCCCACACTTCCTGCTCCTGTGAGGCTGAGAGACAGACTTGTCAGGAAGCTAAGGGACCTTGCTGAGGGAGTTCCAGGGCTACAGTCAACAGCCTTGGGTTATACTAGGCTTTGGTCGGTTAGCTGGTTTTTCTCTCGGTGCCCAAGAGTTATGCAGAATCAGAATCCCTCAATGTTAAACCGTCTTCTTGGCTCTGGGAGTTCTGAGTTCTGTAAGGAACCCGTGGAGTCACCACATTGACACAATGGCTTCCCAGAAGGAAGAAGTATGCTATGTTCCAACCCCTTGAAATGGTCCTTTTGCTCACCCTTACCCTTTTGAGACTTCTTTACTTGCTGTGTAGCCCAGGCTAGTCTGAAACTCCATGATGGCCTTCTGCATTGGCTTCCTAAGCCCTGGTATTACTGGTCTGCACTACCCATTGTCTCTGTTTCCTTCCTCAATTTTGATAAACTTTAGATGAATGCCTTCCTTTCAAAAGACTAACACCTCACTCCCATCCTGATTAGCTTTGGTGCAGATCCAGCTTTTTGTTTAATCTGTCGGTTACACTGGAAAAAGTCAGGTTCAGCCCAGGTCTCAGAAGATGGCAGGACACCCCCCATGCCCAGAAGCAGAAGGCCTGTGCCCTTCTGGTCCTGAAGCACCAGCACGCAGATAGCACTCCACATATCAACTCTCCGCAGAATAACGAATCTGCACTCTCAGAATGGGTTTCGCATAACAAGAAAATGCACGTGGAAGAGGCAGGACAGAGATGCATACGGTAGCTTCCCCCCCCACCCCATCCATAAAGCATACATTCTGAGACTCCAGTAGATGCCCGAAAGCTTGATTAATCTGTCCTGACAGCTTTTATGTCCTGGATCCTTTGCATTGTAACTCTCAAGCCTTGGAGTCTTTAGTTCATAAAACGAGGTTACTGGCACAAGCACTGGGCACCCACAACGTGACAGCTTAGGGCTACCGAGTGACTAGCAGGAAGGTAGGGTAAACCCTGTGGACACACTGGACAAAAAGGAGGACTCAGATCTGCGGCAGAATGGAGAGGGATGGCAGGAGACTGCATCACACGACTTAGGATGGAATTTCTAACTACTCAGAAAACCCTTCACTTAAAACTTACTAAGTATTTAAAACTCACGAATTGTTTATTTCTAAAAAAAATATTTCATCACTTAATATTTGGCTACAGTTAGATAAAACTACAGAAGGTAAAACTGTGGACAACAGGGAACGGGCTAATGTTCCTATGCACTTCACCCTCGATCATCCCCAAACCTGCTCTGGATAATTTTAAGTGGGGCAGACTGGGCACCAACACGTCCGTGCCATTCCTAAATCTCCACCTAAGTCAGTGCAAGAGGACAAGCCAGGCTCTTTAGCAGGTGCTAGGGAGCAGGGGAGCTGGGCAAGGGCAGCTCCACTCCAGCCAGGCGTCTGCAGTCTACAAGCCAAGGCAAGGCGGGTTTAAATTTCTCGAAGAATAATTTCAGAAGTTACATCTGCAGCAGGCTTATGTTGTGGAAGTACGGTTTGCCACCCCGGCTCCTGAGTCCCTGGGAAACCCTTTCATTTCCTGCCTTCTTCAGACTCACAAGATTGAAAGGAAACCCGTATCTTCTCTTCCCGGCCCAGGGCCATCCATGTCTGTCACTGACCGGGAGAGTTGAGGACACAGAAGACAGGGTCTTCCCGCAATAGTACAACCTTTTCAATAATGCTGTCCTCAGAGCAGGTCCTGATTGATCCACCTGCGGGCCGCAGGGAAGGCAGATGCTAACTGAGCCCTGATGGTTTACAGTCATCCAGACTAGCGGGAAGATGACGGCCGGACTCTGGAAGCCAAGCCTTTGCATAGCAGCCTCAACTGAGTTCAGTCAAGTTATGAGAGACAACGGAGGAGGCTCTAGAGCTAACGGGACCTCCATGTCCTTTATAGCAATATTGGGCAAAGCGGGGGTTCCAACCCCCACTGTGGAAGGAGGAAGTGCGTGTTGGTGGAGAAACGAAACAGAAAGAGTGTGGAGAACTGGCCCTTGCTCAGAGGTCATTCATTATCTTGCTCTCCTTTCCGGAATTTACAAACTCCAAGCTGAAATCTGGCCTCTATCAAGTTCATCATCCCATTCTTCCACCACACAAAGTTGTCTTTTAATTACTTGGCTGTTGGTATTTAAAAACAAGAGGACGTCGAGGACGTGCTGGCACAGCTCTGTGGCCCCTGCATTGGGGAGGCTACGGTAGGAGGGCAGACAGTTCAAGACCAGGTTGGATTATATAGTGATACCCTGTCTCAAAATAATGGCAATAATATCTTACAACTTAGATTTTTCCTGACTTCTCTTGAAAGACCAGAAGGTATCAGTGGTAGGTTCACTACACAGATCGCAGACTGGGCTGGCCAGGGGCTGACACCCGGCACTCTTGCTCTCCGTGGTGCGATGCCCTCTTCTCGGGCCTTCACCTCTGCCTACGGGCACCTTATCCACTTACTTAGTCATAGACCGCTTCTCAACCACAACTCCAACTAATCTGGCTTTCTGCGCCCCTGACATCTTTCCTGACCATCTCTAAATCAGTGCCATGTCCCCTCCCGTAAGGAGCCAGGGGTAGGCTGTGGGAGTCACCGCAGCACGCACGCGCACTCCCGCACACCCGCGCTCATCCAGACTGCGCTCGGAGCTGGCCCCGACTCCAACCTCGGCGCTGCAGCTTAGGCCTGTCCGCGCCACGGTTCCTTTGCGTGAAGATGAACAGCAGTGTGCCCGACACCGTGGGGTTCCCGACCGGCTCCGCAGACCCTGGCTTCCCCACGCGCACCTTTACCGTGCTGGCGTCTGGGACCGCGGGGACACTGAGCACCGCTCCGCGCGCAGCCGGCTCCGCTCTGCCAGCGCCAGCGAGGCGCTCACAGGCCACGGCCGCCCTGGCTCCGCCCTCCTTCCTTCCGGCTCCGCCGGCCTTCCGGGTCGCCGTGCCTCGGGTCCCCGCGGGTCCGGGTGCTCAGTGGGGCCAGGCCTGGGAGGGAAGGACCCTGAGGGTTCAGCGGGGCATCCCTTTCCCCCCCCCTGCCCCGCCCCAGCGTCTGGTTGGTTGGCACACACTGACCACGGCTTGGAAGCGGTGACCCTACGGGAATGGGGAGGACTTTGTGACCCGAGGACACACCGGGACTCAAAGCTTCCCCCACCTACCCACCCACTCCGGCTACCCCGTCCTATAGCCAACCTCACGTCTAGGATCCGGGGTCGCTCCTGGAAGGTCCTCTCCGAGCACCCTTTGCGTGGGGCGTGTGACCTTAAGGGGCTTCCTCCCACCCCGGAATCCTGTGCCTGGAAGATGCTGCCGGGGGCTGAGCTGTCAGGATCTGCTACTGATTAACTCTGGGGCCTAAGTGGGGTGCGCAGGGGCTGCCCTGTCAAAGGGAGGCTAATTTGGAGGAGAACAAAGAGTAGCCGAAAAACCTTGAGAGGTCCGTAGAGCAGTCCCCATTCTTGACTCTAAGGACCCCAGGGATAGCCTTGAACTATCCCTAGTCAGAAAGAGGCTTCTGGAAGATCTCCCAGTACTGTGAACTGTAACCCTGAGCAAAGTCTTGCTGAGTAGGAACGGTTGTCCTTGGCAAACTAGTTTCAGAGGAGCTGGGCGGGCTAATGCCACCCAATTAGAAAGTGTGGACTGCAGTCTGGGTCTGTGTAGCTTCTAGCACGCTCTGCCTGGGTTGTGGCAGTACAGCGAGCCCCCAGAAGACAGACTTTCCCATGAAAAGTTCTATGATTTGTGTTCTTGTCTTCTTGTGAGAAAGCTTCGAAAGATTTCTCCTGGCTGGTGTGGAAAATTGGTGTCCTCCTTCGAATAGGAACTTTTCCCCCCTGAGTTTGGGTTACTTTCAAGAACCAGCCAGAGTTAACTGAGCTCGCTGCTCCAATTCTGCCTACGCTGAGTGAGGTGCTCCAGTGGCCCCCGCTGGCAGCGCCCCTGGTGGCACGTTAGAGGACTGGACTGTCGTCTCCTTTGCTTAAGAATAGAAAGTACAAGAAGCAGGTAGAGGTGCAGGGAGCAAGGAAGAAAGCTCAGTGGAGAAGAGAGGCTAGGATATAACACATTCACACAAATGAAGTCATAAAATGATCACTCTGAAGGCTAGAAGTGTTCACTAGCGGCTGAGGCTGTCTGTGGAGGAGGCATCACAGAAGGGTTAGCTGGTGTACGTCCATAGTCTGATCACTTGGGACCCACCTTTAATCCTAGCACTTGGAAGGCAAAGACAGGCAGATCTCTTAGTTTGGGGTCAGCCTGAACTATATAGAGAGTTCCAGATGGGCCAGATCTACATAGTGAGTTTGAGACCCTGTCTCAACAATAACAAACAAACAAACAAACAAACAAAAAAACACAACATTTGAGGCTGAATATGGAGACCCTGTCTCAACCCTCTCCCCTTCCAACCCGAAATTCACACAATGAAAGCTATTGGTAGGGAGTGGTACTAAGAATGGGTCTTTAGGAGGTGACTAGTGACCTTGTAGAAGAGGTCCGAGGGAGCTTGTTGTCTCCTTCCTCCATCAGTGAGGTGCTTGACTTCATGAGACTTGGAAGCTGCTGGTACTTCCTGGTCTCCAAACTAAGGAATCAGTTCCGTTGTTCATAAATCTCCTGTCTTGCTCTTTTGTTACAGCAGCTTGAAGGGACTAAGACACTTCCCCTGAGCCTGTAGGAAAGACCCCTGTCTCTTTTAGTTTCTGCTAAAGCCACCAGTCGTCGATAACCATTGACTTGCAGTGTTAATTTTCTCTGTTGCTGTATGGCATTCTCCTGTGTGTGTGTGTGTGTGTGTGTGTGTGTGTGTGTGTGGTATATGTGTACCTGGTACATGCGTGTGTGTAGGCTGGTACACCTATGTGTGTACATGAAGAGGCCATAATAAGACATGCTTTTATTGCTCTCTATGGTGGTTTGAAATAAAATGGTCCCCAAAGGGCACTATTAGGAAGTACAGCCTTGTTGGAGTAGGTTTGGTCTTGTTGGAGGAAGTGTGTCACTGTGGAGGCGGGCTTTGAGGTCTCATATATGCTCAAGCCATGCCCAGTAGACCAATCACTTCCTTCCTGTTGCCTGTGCAAGGGATAGAGCTCTCAGCTACCTCTCCAGCACCATGCCTGCCTGTATGCTGCCGTGTCTGACCATGGTGATAATGGACTGAACCTCTGCAATGTAAGCCACCTCAATTAAATGTTTTCCTTGTAAGAGTTGCTGTAGCTGGGCAGTGGTGGGCTCACGCCTTTAATCCCAGCACTTGGGAGGCAGAGGCAGGTGGGTCTCTGTGAGTTCAAGGCCAGCCTGGTGTACAGAGAGAGTTCCAGGGCAGGCTCTAAAGCTACGTGGAGAAACCTTGTCTCAAAAAGAAAGAAAGAAAGAAAGAAAGAAAGAAAGAAAGAAAGAAAGAAAGAAAGAAAGAAAGAAAAGAAAAAAAAACAAGCAAAAAGAAAACAAAAAAGAGTTGCCATGTCATGGTGTCTCTTCACAGCAATGGGAACCATAACTAAGACGCTCTTCCTTATCGCCTTATCGCCTTAGGTTGAGGCTTCTTACTGAGTTAGTCAGTGTGTTGCTGTTTCAGCTAGGCAGACTGTCTAGTGAACTAGTTCCTTGGACCTGCCTGTCTATGCCCACACCTCCAGTGCTGGGGCCCCAGTCGTATGTACCTGGCTCTTCACATGGGTGCTAGGAACTCACACTCAGGTCCCCACACTTGCATACAAAGCACTTAGCACTGGGCCATCTCCTCAGTCCTCCAGTCCCTTGTCTAAGGACACAAATTATGGTGGCTAAGAGCCTACCTTCATGACCTCATTTTTACACAATTACATCCATAAAGACCCTACTTTCAAATGAGGTTACATACACAGTGACAGAATTGGGACTTCATGTCTTTGCAGGAGGATTACAATTCAACCTGGTAGCTGAACGAGAATGGCGGCCCCTAGAGGCTCCTCTGTTTAAATAGCTGGTTCCCAGTTGGTAGACCTGTTTGAGATGTGACCTTGGTGATGGAGGTGTGTCACTGGGAGCTGACTTGGAGGTTTCAAAAGACTGGTAACACACTCAGTGTGCTCTCAGCTTCCTGTTTTGTGGGTCAAGATTTGAGCTCTCTGGTGCTGGAGGAGAAGCTCAGTGGTTAAGAGAACTTCCCTCTTTTCCAGAGGACCTAAGTTTAGTTCCCAGGACCACCTTTAGCTCCAGCTTCAAAGGGATCTCATGTCTCTGACCTCCACTGGCAACTGCATTCAGATGCATACACACAAAAAACAAACAAACAAAAATTAATATAAATAAATACATACATACATACATACATACATACATACATACATGAAAAGATGTGAGCTCCCAGCTGCTGCTCAGTCACCTGCCGCCCTGCTTTCCCTCTGCCATCACGGACTCTAAACCTCTGGAACTGTGAGCCCAGTGAAACCCTTCCTTTTATGAGTTGCCTTGGTCACGATGTCTTACCACAGCCGCAGAAAGTAACAAAGACAAACCCATAACACCAGGACCTCACGAAATGCCAGCTGTGAGACTTGAGCACGTGCCTGACAGATCCACGTCCGCGCCGTGGCAGGACATAGACAGAATGCTCAGACCAGGCCTATGTCAAGCCCAGCGTGTGCGTGAGGACCACGGGCACTCCAGTCTCGGGAGAGCTTGACTCTCCAAGTGCAGTCAGGGCCAGGGTGGTGTGGAGACCACTGACAATCTCACCTTGGCCCCATCGCTCTTTGGGATGAACCCAAAGGTTCATCCGTCATCATCCTTCAGATTTCCGTAGACCGTTATCACACCCCTTTGGTGGCCACTTAGCATCCGTCTGCACGTTTGCTGTGGTGTTCCGTGCAGTGTCATCGCTGCCAGGATTACTGTCATTCCCTCCCCGCACAGCCATGCCTCCCTCCGCTATCATCACCGCCTAAATCTCCTCCAGGTCCCCAGCCTTGCAAGTGCCAACTTACCCAAGGCGGGACATTAAAAATCATTAGCAGAGACAGGAGATGGCTGGCTGGCAGGCTCTGTAACCCCTGATTCCTCTCTAATTCCTATCACTTTCCCCAAAGTCACATTTAACAATAAACAGCAGAGCTCGGTGGAAACACAGTGCAAATGCAGCTTCCAGACAAAGCCCTAGGCTGGCTCCCCGACTCATCCTTACCGTCCCAAGTAAGAAATAAAGACAAGGCTCTCAACAACCTGGGCTTATTGTGATGACTTAAATGAGAAAAGCAAGGAAAAGTGCCGTGTCCGCCAAGAACAGGAGACCAGTGGTACCAGCGTGGTGTCAATGACCCATGTCTACAAGGCAACCCGAGGATTCTAAGGGAGAACTTACAGATGAATTTGACACAGCTCTGCAGCACCCCGAATCTGCCTGATGAAGGCCAGGCGGTGGTGGCATGCACCTATTGTCTCGGCATTTGAGAGGCTGAGGTAAGAGGAGCATTAAAACTTTGAGTCCAGCCTGAGCTACACAGTGAGATCCTGTCTTGAAAAAAAAAAGGGGGGGGGAGGAATATGCAAATGGCTCAGCGTTAGGAGCCCCAGCTGCTCTTCCAGAAGACCTGGGTATAGAGTTCCAGCACCCACATGGCAGCTCACTGTAACTCTAGTTTCAGGGGATCTGATGCCCTCTTCTGGTCTCTGTGTGAACCAGACACATGAGTAGTGCACAGACACACATTCAGACAAAACATCCATTCACATAAAAAGAAATTAAATTTAAAATAGGAACCATACTCTATGAAAGTAGGAAAGACACTATTTGGGACAAGAAACCAGAACAGCATGGGCACCGGAGAGGATAACAGGGTTAATAAGGTTCAAGTATATAATACACCTGAGCAAAAATGTCACGAAACCTAGCCCTCATACAATAAACATGTGTTGGGAAATGTGTTGTGTTTGGTGAGGACTGAGGCAGGGCCTCACTGTGTAGCCTTAGC